CCAAGAAAGACTTGCCCCTCGCCAAAGTGCTGGACTTGCCCATGGTCGCGGCTGCAAGCTGAGATCAAGGATGTGCAAGACACTCGGAATCAGGACTCGATGAAAATCTGAATATCAGCACAGCACACTTGCAACACAGCCTTGGAAGTTTCCTAGAAGTTTCCACTAAACTGCCACTGCTGGTGTGGAAGTTTCCTGGAAGTTTCCATTAAACTGCCACTTGATGGTGTGGCAGTTTCCTTGAAGTTTCAACTAAACTGCCACTGATGAGGTGGCAGTTTCCTGGAAGTTTCCACTAAACTGCCACTAGGATTTGAGGCAGTTTGGTGGCAATTTCAACCAAACTGCCACTAAACTACCACTACTCTACATATTGTCTATAGATACTAAAACCTATATATATATATATATATATAGGGTTTTATTGAAAGTGCCACCAAACTGCCACTAAACTACCACCAAACTACCACTAAAATGCCACTAAACTTCCACTAACATGCCACTAAAATGCCATTAAAGTGCCAGCAAACTGCCAGGAAGTTTCCTTGAAATTTCCACCAAACTGCCACCCCGATGCTGGCAGTTTGAATTAGTATGCACACAGAGGAAGCACACACGATCGAATTTTCAGCACACTCTGGGTCCAGGCAGCTCTGGTCAGGTGCCCTCTATGCAGTCTCTCAAGGTCCCCTCTCGGTCGAAGAGGAGGACGAAGAGCCGGAATCCTGTGGCACGAAGGCACAAACCCTGAAGTCCTAACCCCCCAACCCCCCCGCCCCCTAACCACGAAAAGCCCTGGAACCGAAGCATCTGGGTTGCAATGGAGACAAGACAAGTTGCAGTGCCATCCGGAAACCACTCTTGCATCTGGATTCTAGACACAAGAAGAAATGTTCCACCGACGGAAAGATTGCATCATTCCAACTCCAGAAAAGTTGCATTTCCCGTAGATAAAACCTGAAAACCTAGAGCCCTAACCCTGAACCCAAAAACCCGAAACCCAAAAAACAACCCTAAACCCCAAAACCCGAAAGCCTTAAGGGTTTAGGGTTTAGGGTTTATGGATTGTAGGGTTTAGGGATTGTAGGGTTTAGGGTTTAGGGTTTTAGGGTTTGGGGTTTAGGGATTGTAGGGTTTAGGGTCTAGGGTTTTAGGGTTTAAACCCTAAAACCCTAAAGCCGTAGACCCTAAAACCCTGATGCCCTAAACCCTAAAGCTGTGCTTCAGTCCTTCTTCTGGCTTTTCGATGATCGAGGTGTCGAGGGGTCCTGCATCCAAACCCTACACCCTAAACCCTACTTCCCTAGAAACACTAAACCCCAGAGCCCCCGAAACCCTAAACCCCAAAACCTTGAACCCTAAAACCCCAAAGCTGGAAGCCTTAAAACACGAAGCCCCGACCGCCAAATTCCCGAAACCCCGCTTAGTCCATGCCCATCTAGCTGACCCAGCCAGGCCTCCAGAAAGGTTCTTGGGGTTGCAGGGTGTACAAACCCCCATAGACCATAAACCCTGAAACCCTAAAGCCCTAAACCCTGAACCCTAAAACCCGAAACCCCAAAACCAACCCTAAACCCGAAAACCGTAAAGCCTCAAAGCCCAAAACCTTAAAGCCCTAAACCCTGAAACCCTGAAGCTGTGCTTCAGTCCTTCTTCTTGCCTTTCGATGATGGAGACGTCGAGGGGTCCTGCAAAACCCAAATCCTACACCCTAAACCCTATTTCCCTAAAAACCCTAAACCCTAGAGCCCATAAACCCTAAACCCCAAAACCTTGAACCCTAAAACCCAAAACCCCGAGGCCCTGACCGCCAAACCCCCCAAACCCCGCTCAATCCATTCCCACCTAGCTAGGCTTCCACAAACGTTTTTGGGGATCAGGGTGTGCAAACTCCCATAGAACTAAAACCCTGAAACCCTAAGAAGCCCTAAACCCTGAACCATAAAAACCCTAAACCCTAAAACCCTAAAGCCTTAAACCCCATAACCTTGCCCTAACCCTAACACCCATGAAGCCGTGCTTCAGTCCTTCTTCTTGCTCTTGGATGATCGACATGTCGAGGGGTCCTGCACAAGCCCAAAATCCAAACCCTACAGCCTAAACCCTACTTCGTTAGAAACCCTAAACCCTAAAGCCCCCAAAACCCTGAACCCTAAACCCCCACACAGCCCGGAAGCCCCAGCCGCCAAACCCCCAAACCCTAACCTAAACCCGAACCCTGCTGCTGTCCTTCCTCCTGCTCTTCGAGGATCGAGTCTCGCGGTCCTGCACAGAAGCCCGAAACCCAAATCCTACACCCTGACTTCCTCTAGACTGTATGAAATAAACCCTAAAACCCTGTACAAGGGGCAGCCATAAACCCTAACCTCCGAAACCCTGAATCAAAAAAGCCCGGGCCCTAAATTCTAAACCCTTGCCCTGCTTCTGTCCTTCTGGCTCCCCGCGGGGGACTCTACAGCGGATGTCGGCGAAAAGTCCTGCACACAAACCCAAACCCCACACACCCAAAACCTTCATATTTTCTATATATCCCAAACCCGAGCAACCCTAAGCCTAAACCCTGTGCTGTTGTCCCGAAGTCGAGACATCCTGGGGAGCATCAAATCCCTAAACCCGAAAACCTAAACCCGAAAACCTCCATCGTACCTTTTTCTCTGGAGAATCTTAAAGCCGACCCCAACCCTACAAACCTCTAAGTCTAAAAACCAAAACAGTACAATGAAGAGTGTACCCCAGACCCTCTAACCCTAAACCTCAAGTCCTAAAGCCTTATAAAGGCTTAAACTTTAGACCCGGAAACCCTAAAAAAACAACAACACTCTGACCCCTGAAACCCAAAGAACCCTAAGCCCAAACCCGGCTGCTGTCCTTGTACTTGGCCTTCGATCGTGATCGGGATCTGGAGGAGTCATCCTGCGAAACATGAGACTCCCCACACCCGAAAACCTACCCTCTTTATGCCCTAAAACCCATAACCCTAAACACCCGAACCTCTAACCCTAGAAGCCTGAAGGCCAGTAAACCCGACCCAAACCATATAACTCTAAACCTTCAACCCCAAAACCTTGAAAAGGCCTGAACTTCCTTGCCTAAAAAGCCCTATATGTAAAGCCCCAAGTTCAAAATAACTTTAAACTCCAAAACCCCAAAAAAAAACTAAGCCTTAAATCCTGCTGCTGTCCTTGGCAATGGTCGTTGCTCGTGATCGGGATCGGGATCGCGAAGTAGAGCCATCCTGTGGAACAGCTAAACCCTACATAAACAATAACAACCCTACAACCCTAAAAACCCAAAGCCCTAAGCCTAAACCTTAAGCCCTAAAGCCTTTAACCACGGTACAAGCAGGGCCCAAGCATCTAAATTTCCGAAAATTTAGAGGCCTGGGCTCTAAGGACCCAGGCCTCTAAATTTTCCGAAATTTTAGGGACCTGGGCAGGTTTAGGATTTAGGGTTTAGGGTTTAGGGGTTAGGGTTTAGAGTTTAGGGGTTTGGGGTTTAGGGTTTAGGGTTTAGGGTTTAGGGGTTAGGGTTTAGAGTTTAGGGGTCTGGGGTTTAGGGTTTAGGGTGTGTCCGAGAACCCTGTATGAAGCCTTAAAAACCCTAAAATCCTAAAACCCAAAGCACCCTCAACAAAAAGCGCCAAACCCTAAACTAAAGCTTCAACTCTAGAGAGCATTCTACGACACAAAAACACAACACAACTTCAAAACCTAATCTCCAAATCCTAAAACCCTAAACTCTACAACCTAAGATCTTATAGCAACCCTACATAACCCTAAACCTGAGCAACCACTAATCACTTCTGTGCTCTTGGCCTCATCCTTGCATCCTGCTCCGGAGTCAGCACCATGGTCCTGTGATTTGGCAGAAGCATTCTGGGCTTTAGATACATGTTGGTCATCACAAAAGTCTTACAAATCTCCCGATCCTCGTCGGCTGTCGCATCGGGAATCTTCTGCTCGGTGTCGTTCATCCCGCTCGATGGCTCCTGTCAGCAGATTCTTTGTGCATAGATGAAATCTGGAAACCACATGTGGGTCCTCCTTCGGACTCGCCGGCGGTGTCGGGTACCGGACCTCCCGCAGGCTTCAGGTTTAAATAGGCTGCAGGGCTTCACAGGTTTTCTCGAGGGCTTTATGCTATATTTGCAAAGATTTCGGTCGGAATAGTGTTAATTTAAATTTCGACTTTACTTATATAGTACGATAGAACTATATTGTAATATAGTACTACAACATAGTATATAGTTATAGTACCATGGTAGTTTAAGCATGGTATACTACTGTGTACTACAAGTCCAGTTATCTAGATTCTAGAGATTCTAGGTGAGCCTTTTAAGGAAGAATTTTGGACACCCCACACACACACACACACACCCATAGGCCTGCATGCTTGCCATACGTGGAATTGCCAGCTCAGCAGATAGACAGGAAAAGGCCAGCCCAGGCACGAACACACCATTCAGTCTTTCTGTCAGTGACCGTGCAGCCTCCTCGGACTGCACAGTCACGAAAGCAGAACATGTGCTGCTCGTGCTGAAACTCCTTCCAGATCTTAGCAGTCTCACAGTCGAGACTCTGTAGTCTCCCAGCTGAGCCACCAAATCCCGAAGCATCCTCTCCGAAGCTGCAAACACCAAGTTTCGAATAAAAACTCGATCGCGGGGCACATAGGACATGGCTTGCACGAACTGGCCGATGCAACTGAGTGACCTAGTATTGGTTTTGAAGCCTGTCTTGAGTGACCCCACACAAGAGTTTTGGGTTTAGGGCGGTTTAGGGTTTATATAGGTTTAGGGCTTCTAGGGTTTAGGGTTCACTCACCCACACAAGCACAGGGTTTAAGAGGGTCTAGAGGTGGTTTGTGTCACAAGAGTTTTGGGTTTAGGGCCGCTTAGGGTTTATATAGGCTTAGGGCTTCTAGGGTTTAGGCTTCACACACACAAGCACAGGGTTTAAGAGGGTCTTTATGTGGCTTGTCTAGCTTTGGCGGTTCGTGCTTCCTGAACATGTCAAACCTGCAGAGGAGCTCGCACACATTGCATGGTTTAGGGTGAAGGGGTTTAGGGTGAAGGGGTTTAGGGTTTAGGATTT